GGGTAAGTTAATATCTCGGGAACCTCGGAGTCTAGGAGGCTGAAGTTTTAGGGCAATGACTCCCTGCCCACGCTCGACTTTGCCCATTCAAATTCAGTCTTCCCGTACTCGCGGGTAACGCGTACGGCTTCGTGAAATTTTTTTACGGGTAAGTTAATATCTCGGGAACTACAAAGTCTAGAAGGCTGAAATTTTAAGCGAATGACCGCCTGCCCACGCTCAACCTTGCCCATTTAAATTCAGCGTTCTCGCGCTCTCGGGTACCACCTGCGGCCATGTGAAAATTTTGACAGGTAAACTGTTAACTCGGGAATTACGGAAAGATATTCATCCTTCAAGGCTTCGAATTCAGCTTTCATGCGCTGGTGTGTGAAATTTTTAACTGTTTTCCAATGTTCAAACTATTTTTGCATAGACTGAAGTACAAAGCAGTGAAAATCATTAATAGGCAATCGTTCGATGGGCTAAATTGCACAAAACGCATGATCGCACCGGCTAGTCTGGTGCGCGTTGCTATTTATTTTTTTCAGATCTGCTGATAAACACGGTATAACAAAGTAAGGTCTTGCCCAGTTGCCCTTCGATTTCATGTGATATGCAAATGTCCTGTCTCATGACTCTAGTCCTCCCTCGTGATAATGTAATGATGTGATTAGAAATGAAATGGTGACTGTTTTCCTGTGCAAGAATGTTATGCGGCACAGCTTGGAGTTGCTGTCGCTCCCCTGACGTTATGGGAACAGTACGAAGACTGTTAGTGGTAAAGAGGTTCCGTTCTCAGGTCCTAAACAAAATAACGCGAATCTGGCAAACTCAAGTGCATTGACGGCAAGAGAGAGCATCAAAGCAATATAGTATGGAGAGAAAACCAAATTACCAACCAAATCAATTGTTTTTGCATTCGCTTTTGAAGCATCATCGCACCATGTCTCACACCAGAGCCATTCTTGAGGCAACGATTTGATACGCACCTGATGGATCATATTGTTTGGTAAATCCTGAAATACGTTGTTAGTAAGAACCTCATCTTAACATATTCTCATAAGCGAGACTTGATGAACCGAAACATTTCAATTCAGTTTTTACTTTTAATTATTACTTTTCTTTTAGTTATAACTTCTTCCATAACTCCATAAAATATTTAAATTGTCAAATGTTATTTCTTTCATCTTTTTTTTTCCTCATCTGCGAACGCCTGCCTTTCTTGTCCTCTCAAAACCTCGCTTTTTTACTCCTTGTTCTCTCCCCATGCCTAAGCCCCACTAATGATCAAGCTCTTGCTTTCCTTAGTAACTTAATCCATCATCCAACCTCTAATCTCATCATTTGCTACTATCTTA